GGAAGGGAAAGAAATAAGCATTTATGGTACCTACCAGGTACTGGTACTATGTACCAGTCACTGTGCTAAGCACTTTTTAACAAATATTACCTCATATAACAAAGTTAATTTGTACACCAAGGACATAGGGATAGAAGTAAGAACTGTGATTTCATTAGTATAGGGAATTCTGGGGTGAGGAAATTCCCTCTACCAGGTAGGTTGGCACCTTCTTTGTGACTTGTGGTCTTAAAGAGTTATTTGAAGCACTGAGAGGTTGTGATTTAATTGCCCAGGGTCACGCAGCTAGTATGAGTCAGCAGCAGGTTTTGAACTCAGGCCATCTTGATTTTGAATCCAGTTACCTCTCCACCAGTCTATGCTTGCTCTATACTGACAGCATAAAGATTTTGAATGAAAATGTACCAAAGTTAACATCAGGGAAGTAGAGTGCCCACCAAAGCAGTCCCAACATGGCACAGATTTCCCCTGAATCTTTTGAGGTCCTTTATTGGTACCTAAAAGTAGTACTCTGGTCATCTGTAGTCACCCCAATTCTTCTCCTGCTGTAGCTTATGTGACAATGACAATATATTTCTCTGGTTTTCTGTTTTCTCTCTGTTATTCCCACATTGTCTGTTTTCTTGATTCTCTCTGTGACAAGACCACTGTTTCCCTGACATAGATTCTTTCTTCCCATTCACAACATGGGGAACTTTTACCCAAAAGAAGACAAAGTTCCCCACAGGACCTGACTGGCCCTGGCTTCCCTGACACACTCCCTCTTCCCAACCTCCTATTCCATAGAAGAAATTGGGCAGATACAGCACAAAGTTGACCTGATTGCCACCAGTTTCCCTAATATAGTTTCCAGGCTATCTAGGAGCATAAAAAGTTCCAGCCATGTGGAGTCTGGGCATCTCAGACTTGGCAGGTGTCTCAAATCATTGGAGTTGCCATTCTCAGATGACCTGCTGATCTGATGAGTGTCTAGGTAAGGGAGGTCGTGTATACCAAAGCTAAAGCCAAAGTACCACTGTATCCTTGTTGCACATCCTCGCTATTAGGACAAAATAAACTTCCTTTTGTTAAATGTTTGGTGACTCATGAGTCTCTCATTTCATCTCAAAATCAAACCTGAACTAAGACAGAGTTGGCATTAGAGCCATGCCTTCCATACATTCTCCTGATTTGTAGCCATTCATCATGTCTTTCTTGATCCTGTTTCTTTTCCATATGCTCTTTCATTTGTTGAACTGATTTTGTCTCATAAAGCCAACTGTCACCTCTATGCTGATGGACTTCAGGTGTCTATCTCTAGCCCCTTCTTTGAAAACGCAGAGCTTCTCCCTGAAATAAAGGTCCATTTTTTTTCATATCAATATACTACCAGTGTTATTCCATGGCTCTGACTCATGAAACACTCCAGTCTTCAAAGAATGTAAAAAAGCAGTATCTCTTTGGAAGCAGCAGAAAGTCACATGGTGGGTAGAAACTAGTTGTAACACATTACAAAAGATTACAAAGAAGAACTAGAGTGGAGGGGATCATTAATGAAACTATCAAAAAGGAAACTGAGCTTGTCACATGGTAAGAGTGGAGACTAACCCATGAAGACACCCAATATTTTGGGTGGGCAGTCTGGACAAGAATCACACAGAATGGATAGGCATTGATGGGTTTTGATCTGCATCGTTGGAGGAAACATTGACATCAATGAGCTCACAAGTCTCTTTGAATATTTGAGTCCCTCTAGCCCCAAAGTACCTCTCTCTAGCTCCCAGATTGCCTATGGAATATTTACATTTTGATATTTCACTTCCACTTCAAGACAATTCTAGAAAAAATGAAACCTGTCTGCCCCCAAATTGGTTTCCTTTCTCAAATTCCTTATTTCTGTGAATGGAACCACCACCCTGTCACCAAAGCTCAATTCAAGTGAACATGGATTTTTCCTACTTCTTTATCTCCCCATAACTGCATGATGGCAGAGAGAGTTGTTTCTTTTCTCATAAAACTATTACACAGATCCCTCTCTGAATCAGCTCTCAATGGAGACCAAGGAAGGGAACAGGAAATAAATATTTATTAAGTGTCTACTATGTCAGTCACTGGGTTAAGCACTAAACACATTTTAATAATTCTAATAAACCTGGAGAATCATTATCTTAATGAAGTGAAGATCATAGATTTAGATCTGAAAAGAGCCTTTGAGATCCAGTCCAATTCCCCTATAGTAGAGGAAACTGAGTGCCAGAGAAGTGAAATGACTTGACAGCATTCACACAGGCTGTAAGGAGAAGAGCATGGGTTTGAACTACATCCTCTGACTCTTTCCACTGTGTGATGCTGCTCTCTTCACTTTGATTGTGAATAACACAGTGACATTAATGATTTCCTCCACTCTAGTTCTTCTTTGTAATCCTTCCATAATGTTACACCTAGGTTCTACTCACCATGTGCCTTTCTGCTGCTTCCAAAGGGAAGGACTTCTCAAGATCAGTTGTTTAAGTCCCTGTATTTCAACGCCTCAGCTCGGGGCAGAGGACCTGTTGTATAATTCCAGAAAACTGAGACTTGTATTCTCCCTTATGTACAGTGATGAGAGACAGAAGACCCATTTATTAGTACAGAGGCTCCCAACCTTTCCAATTATGAGCACACAAGATGAAAGTAGTACATTTAATATGTGTTAATTAAAACAAAATTTCTTGTTTAGTCATTTTTCAGTAATGTCTGACTCTTCCGGACCCTATTTGGGGTTTCCTTGGCAAAGATACTGGAGTGGTTTGCCATTTCCTTCTCCAGCTCATTTTACAGATGAGAAAACCGAGGCAAACAGGGTTAAATGACTTGCCTAGGGTCACACAGCTAGTAAGTATTCTGAGGCCAAATTTGAACTCAGGAAGAGAAAGCTTCCTGACCCAGGCCCAGTCCTTTATCCACTGTATCACCTGACTGCCTAAAACAAAATCCTTAATGATAAAAAGCTACTGTGAATTCAGTAATGCTTTTAATGACTTTGTGCATTATTAATCATAATAGAATCTATACACAGAATCCATATAAGTATATGAAAAGATAGCATGACACAGTTGATAAAGATCCAGCCTCAGTTATCAGGACAGACTTGGGTTCAAGTGTTACCTCTGGCATACTGGCTGTCTGACTTGGAAAAGTCACAAACTATCAATGCCCCAGGTGGCTAATTCTCAGAGGCGTGAGCTGCGAATGGGTTGTAGACTTGCATTTGTAGAGGGAATTTCCTCACTGGGCATTCTCTACACAACTGAAATTATCTGTCTGGAAAAGATGTTAGACCTATTATTTATTTAGTCTGCAGAAGGCATGTTTGTTTACTTATTGATGAACTCGCAGACTTTGAAATAACTCCCCACCCTTCCTTCCCCAATGGACCGCAGCAGGGCCTTAGAAAAACAAAGAATCGTCGGTTTGAACAAACCTTCACAGAACATAGAAATGTAGAACAGACTTTAGAGTTCATCTCATCCAACCTCTTTAATTTGCAGATAAGGAAACTGAGAACTCGAGAAATGAAGTGACTGACTCATGGTCATACAACTTGTAATTCAGAGAGCCAGGATTCAAAAAAAGAACCTCTCACTCCAAATCCAATATCCTTTTTAACACACCATGTTGCCTCCAGGATCATAGTCTAGATTTTGAAATAACCTCAGAGGTAATCTAGTCTACCACCATTCCAGTTCAGTGATTAAAAAAAAAAAGTTGGGGGCAGCTAGGTGGCGCAGTGGATAGAGAACTGACCCTAGAGTCAGGAGGACCTGAGTTCAAATCCAGCCTCATACCAAATACTTGACACTCGCTGTGTGACCCTGGGCAAGTCACTTAACCCCAGGTGCCTAAAACAAACAAACAAACAACAACAACAGAAAAAAAAAGCTGAGGCAAAGAAGCTAATTGTCTTGTCTAAGGTCATACAAGTAGTAAGTGGCAGTCAATGGTTTCTGAACTCAAAATCTAGCACTTTCTTTCCCATACCGAATGGCCTCCTCTGTCAAATAAAAGTAAAAAAGATTCATCTTCCTGAGTTCAAATCCCACCTCAGATATTTACTAGCTATGTGACCCTGGGCAAGTCACTTAACCCTATTTGCCTCAGCTTCCTCATCTGTCAAATGAGCTGAAAAATAAAACGGCAAACCACTCCAGTATCCTTGCCAAGAAAATCCAAAATGGGTCATGAAGAGTTGGACGGGACTGAAAAATGACTGAACAACTGAAATCAAATGAGGTAACATTTGCAAAGCCCTTAGCACAATGCCTGGCACATAGTAGGTACTTAAGAAATGCTTCCTTCTTCCCTCCCTCTCTCCTTTCCTTACTATTTCCAAACTTTATTTGAAAAGTCTGAAGTTACCACTGCCCCAATGAACAGTAACCACCATTGCTTGTTATTCTATTTCATTATTTATATAGCTCCATAAGGGTGTGCGATTCTTTAAAGCAGATACAGTATAGAAGTCAGAAATCAAAAAATAAATTCCCTGCTCTGGAGGACTCATGATCTAAGACCTCCTGCTATCTCCAGGGCATCAATTAAGTGAGATGAAGGATTACAGGATGATAAAGCATCTTAATTTCTTCTGGTTCTATTAATTTTCTTCTGTCATTTTAGAGAAAACAGACCAAGAAGAAAGTGTCAGAAATAATACACCATGTCCTTGAAGACTTTTTATCTTCTGTCTGAGAGTCTGAAATTCCAGGACGCAGAATAAAGCATGTTCTATTCTCTACATCGGCTTTCAATGGACTGTTGGATTTAGAAAATCTTGAGTCACATTTCTCCAAAGAACACAAGAACCAACCAGGCTTCATTCCAACCAACATTGATCTTCTCTGGCAACCGTTAGACTGTACACAATAATAACCAAAAATCCTCCCTGGAGATATGGCCTGAGGATTATTGAGTACAAATTAGAATGAAATACACATGAATGGGTCATAGTAAATCACATTATCACAGCCTAGCTCTATCTGAGGTGATTAGTCACACTTTATAAATAGACTTATCTATTCACTTTCTCCCAGCTGCGTGTTCTTCAAAATGCCGTGTTGCAACTGCTATGATATTCTCAGCCAGGCATCATTGTGAGTGGAGAAGAGAAAGCCTAGGGAAGAGGATAAGAGTGAATTGTTAGCCTGCCTGTCGTCCAGGAAAATCCATGGCTAATGAGTACTTGCATATGATGCAGAAGGATAAAGGCTACAGATTGCCCCTGGAATGTAAAAGTAGAGTAGCTACATTTAGAACTGCTTCATTCAAGAACATCATGATTGAAATGCTTCTACTTCTCACCTCTGCCTCTTATTCTCCCTGGCCACCTTCAAATTTCAGCAAAAATCCCGCCTCCAGGCCTTTCCTACTCTCTCCGGTGCTGCTAGTGCCATCCTTTCCTATTTACATATATATGCGTGTGTATGTTTCATATGTATATGTGTGTGTGTGTGTGTGTGTATGATACACACAGATATATATATGTGTGTGTATATATATATATTGAGAGAGAGAGAGAGAGAGAGAGAGAGAGAGAGAGAGTTCTTGTTTTCTCTCCGATTAGAATGCAACCTTTTGGGGGCAGCTAGGTGGCACAGTAGATACAGCACCGGCCCTGAAGTCAGGAGGACCTGAGTTCAAATTCAGCCTCAGACCAAACACTTGACACTTACTAGCTGTGTGACCCTGGGCAAGTCACTTAACCCCAATTGCCTAAAATTTTAAAACAATGCAATCTTTTTGAGAGAAAGGAGTATTTTTGTCTTTCTTTGTATCCCCAGCACTAAGCACAGTGCCTGGCAATCATAAACACTTAATAAATGCTTTTGGCTGATTGATTCTTATGCTTAAATCTTCTCACTGTTTGGTGAATGTACTCAATATCCAGTTCTTATTCCTTTAGTCCATATAGATTTTGATTCATTCTCTGGGAGATTTATAAATTGAATTATAGCCATTCCCAAATGGAAGCACTCATGGTGGTCAGTTAAAAGAATTTATATGTCCAAGTTTGTAGGCCTAGACACTAAGGCTAAGGATGTGGTTCATAGGACCATAGATTTGGAACTGAAAGAGTCTTTAGAAGTCAGTGGGGTGAGGGGGACAGAGAACAGAACCAAGATGGCAGAGAAAAGGCCGGGACTCCCCTAAGATCTCCCATATTCCCCTTCAAACAATTTTAAATAACACCTCAAAACAAATACTGGAAGAGCAGAAACTACAAAACACTGGGTGAAATAATTTTCCAGCCTAAGACAACTTAGAAGGCCAGCAGGAAAGATTTGTCACACCTGGGTGAGAGCAGAGTGCACTCCAGCATGGGCTGCACCCCAGCAAACCAGTGGTAGGCCTTGGGGTCACCTGAATCAATGGTGGTGGCTTCCAGGGCTCTAAGCCCACAGATGGTAATGGGAGGGGTCAGACAATCGATCAGAAGGAGATTACAGGGGTTCCTTTGCTGATACTGAGTGTAGGACACTGTTGCCTTATCCATACTTGGCCAGGTCTCAGTCCTGGGTCCCAGTCCCAGGGCAGGGAGGAACACTGGTACACCAGAGCTTGTGGCCCTAGGGGAGATGGGGTGCTCATCACAGTTACAAGACAGAAGAGAGCATGTGGTTGCTCATAGACCAGAGCATAGCTCAGGAAAATAGTAAACACAGCTCTTCTTAGATCATACCGCCTTGGAAGAATTGAAAACTTGCAGACCCTCAGAACTAACTCTGAAAACAGCTACACAAAAAACCTGAAGCTTGAGACAGTATCCCCTTGACCCTGGGAGAAAAGCCCAACTTTAATATGAAATATTAATTATTTAAATAACATTATTTAATTATTTTAATTAATTATTTAATTAATATAAAATAATATTAAAAGCAAAGAAATTGGCTGGAAAAGTGAGCAAACAAAAGCAACAAAAAGATCCTGCCAATAGATAGTTACTGCGGTAACAGGGAAGATCAAAACACTAACTCAGAAGAAAATAACTAAGCCAAAACTGCTACATCCAAAGTCTCAAAGAAAAATGTGAACTGGTCTCAGGCCCAAATAAAAGTAATTTAGCCCAACTCCCTCATCTTACAGATGAGGAAAACAAGCCCATGGACATTAAAGTAGTATTGGCAATATGATCAGTATCCCCCACAAAAGTCCTCCTCTGATGCTTTATAATGATGAATGCTAATAGCTAGCATTTAGGTAGCACTTGAGGGTTCGCTAAGCACCTTATCTTAGAGGGGAGAAAATCCTGTATTTTCAAAGGCTATGCCACCATTGCTAAAGCTTTTACAGGCTCTTCTGAGTTGGAAAAGTTTCAAAGACAATCCTGGTGATAGACTGAGTCTGCTATCAAGGACTGGCCTCAATAATGAAGGAGATGGGAATCGCCAGCAGTTTGTCCACTAAGTGATGAATTCTTTGACGCCAATGCTGAAGTAGCTACAAATGCAAAATGGTCTCCAGTCCTGTATGTCTTCCTTTCTGCTAAGAATCACACTTCATACATATATTTAATTAATTGTCAACACTTTAAATCCTTGCCCAATGAGTTGGTATGACACTGGAAGACTGTGTGATCAGTTTCAAGCCATCTGTTTCACGAACATCAAACACTCATGTTCTGTCCATTTAACACAGGCAGCAAAGAGGATGGGTTTGTCAGTTCTTATATCAAGGCATTAGAACTCATTGGTCAGCTATTTCCAATACGAAGACTCCTTAGAATTCAGTGTGAGAAATGTTACCCTAGGCAATAACCAAGACAAAATTGCTTATTGGATGCTTGGCATCCAAGCATAGAATTGTACCCCAGAGCTCTACTTTAATGGATGCATGATTATGAATTGGAAATTATTTTTTTTTATTTTAGCTGAAATACTAATCAGGCATTTTTATTATTTTGATGACTTATCCTACCCCTACATAAACACAGACACACATACATATACCTCTTCAGAAGTAAATGCTCTATAGATTTTACTTTTCTAAGCAAAAGACAAATGCAAGAAATCTAAGTTCTACCACCCCCAGTAGGAATATCAAATACAAATTAAAGAAGTTACGTTTTATTATATTTTCAATCTGGTGTTGTAAAAATAGATTTTGACAGCTCTGGTAATCTAGCTGCAATCCTCAGCCATCTGAGCTTTCAATTGTGATTCATATCACAATAAAAAAAAAACATACACAGGTGCCTTGAGACATGGAATAAATGTCATTTTGTGATGAAGTTCCTCAAGATAAGTCAGATAAAGCTGTGATTCTTGGCCCAATGGGCATTTGTCAATGTGTTATATGTTATCTGTCATATAATTGCTGAAAATATTTATAATAAGGTTTATGTTGTTTAACTTTGGTGAAATGTGAAAAGATTCATTAGCCTTAAATCTGATTTAGCATCTCATTCACTTGCATAATTTGACATTCCGTAACATTAGTTACCATCTTTTTAATTGGTCACACTGATTTCATTTTCTCTCTTCTGCAAATAATGCACATGTCTGATCAGGCTACTGCCCTGCTCCAGAAACTCCAGTGGCTCCCTATTGCCTCTAGGATAAAATATGAATTCCTCTTGGAATGCTTAAAACCTTTACAATTGGCTCTAGTCAACCCTGCTAGACTTATTTCATATTAATCCTCTTTACACAGTGTATATTGCAGAAAAAGTGACTGTTCCTTATACTTGGAGAGTTGGTGTGGTACAATGGAAAGAGCACTGAATTCAAAGTCCAAACTTGCCTTGATCACTTATGTGTGTGACTCTGGACAAGTCACTTATCTCTCCAAGCCTCAGTTTCTTTTTCCGTGAAATGAGGGAATTCAACTAGGAGCCTCTAATGTCTCTTCCAGCACTCAATTTATGCTTTTTAAATTATCTCCCACCTCCATGCTTTTGCACAAGGAGTCCAATTCCTAAAATACTCCCCCTTCTCACAGAATTCTACCTTTCAGAACCTCCTAATTTCCTTCAAGGATCAGTTCAGAAACTACCGTCCACACAAGGCTTTTCCTGATTCCACAAGTCATTAGACCTTTCCCCCTCACAAATTTCTTTAGATTTACTTTGTGTTTATCTATGGAAATATTGTTTCTCTCCAGAGGGCATTTGAAAAAAAAATGTCTTTAGACCCTCATTACCTTGAATATAGTAGGTAACTAAGTTTTATTAAATGAGTAAATGAATATTAGCAATTGTGTCCATAAATTTGAGGTAGCTGGTTGGCAAAGTGGATCATGCCAGGCCCGGAGTCTGGAAGACCTGAGTTCAAATCCAGCCTCAGATACTTACTAGCTGTGTGACCCTGGGCAAGTCACTTAACCCTGTTTACCTCAGTTTCCTCATCTGAAAAATGAATTAGAGAAGGAAATGACAAACCACTCCATTATCTTTGTCATGAAAACTCCAAATGGGGTCATAAAGAATTTGACATGACTAAAAAATGACTAAACAAAAGTCCACAAATTTGGACTTACATTTCATTTAATCCAAAATAAATCTGGTATCGAAATTCATATTTTTAATTATCTTTCCTTGTAAGCCTTTTTTTGTTTGTTTTCTCCTTGGAATTTCAGTGCTGGAAACCCACACATGCCAATATGGAACTGTTCACAATCACAATAGCATCAATGGCTTATGGAAAAGTTATCTTTATATCAGCAGTCTGGTAAACTATTATCTCTCTTTTAAATAGAAAAAGATTGACATGTAGCAGTACTTTAAGACTTGAGTAAAACAACCAAGGGGAGGAATAAACAATGGTCTGCTGAATTTAAGATAATCTAGGCAATTCATTTAAATAATTAGAGCCAATTTAAAGACTGGAAAAAACAGTCCTCAAATAAAGGCTAGATTATTGCTGAGCATCAGGAGATGTTTACCAGATAACTCATATGTACTCAACCACATTTTCTATCCTAGCATCCGTCTTGCTTTATTACAGGACATAATTAACAGTTGTTTAACTTGTGATCTACTAGAACTCTCAGATCTTTTCTTATCATATTATGTAGCCAGTGTTTTCCTATCAAAAAATTGGGGGATTTGTTTTCTATCCTTAAGGCAACCATTCTTCTTTATCTTTCAAAATTGTTTTGAACCTTTTGAACCTGGAGTTTCTGAATTTGTTTTCTATGTGGCCATAAGTTTAATGAATAATTAAGTGCTTTTATGATTTGCTTTAGTTGAGTAGACTTGGTCTAAGACAGTAGAGTCAACCCATCCCCCTGTTTTCTAGCCAAAGAGGAGTTGGGGAAAGTATCTCTTAAATAAGAAGGGGGAAAGCAGAACTGTGTCATCATAGAGAATATAAACCACAGTTCTGTATGAGTATCAGTCAAGCAGAGCTTCAGAATCTCTTACTGATGAGGGAGGCACACAACGAGAAGATAAAACAAAATTTTAGTCACTATCTTCTTCGGTGAATCCAGGAAAATGGGAGTTAGAAAACATGCCTTCAAATGGGAAGTAAAGAAGCAGGGTCAACTGAGCTTTACAAAGTAGGAAAGGCAAAGTCTTAACATTCTCCTTTACTGGGCAGAGTTCCCAGGGGTTTGGGAGCAGTGGCATTCCATTTGCCCTGGAAAATTACCATAAGCAGAGCTTATTCCCATTAGCCATCAAGTTATGGAGGTGGGGAGGGTGGAATTTTACCCTGATGGAAAGAGGATTAAGTTACTATTATTATTATTATTATTATTATTATTATTATTATTATTGTTATTATTATTATTAACATTATTATTTCAATAAATCCCTGGTGACAAATACAACAATCAACCACATTTCTACATAAAATAAATTATAATTCAGGGAGAAAGAAATGCAAAATGAATTTAGAGTAGCGAGATGAGCATTGGAATTGGAGTGGAATTCACTTAGGATCATATATTTTAGATGTGAAAAGCACCTGAAAGGATACTTAATCCTACCTCCTTATTTTACAGATGAGGAAAACCTCTCTGGGAATCAGTTTCCTCATTTGTGAATTGAAAATGGACTACTTAATCTTTAAGGTTTCTCCTACCTCAAAAATTCTGTATTCATAATTCTGTGTCTAAGATGGAGAATCAAAGTAATTGTCCATGTAATTGATCACTGAAATGTCCAAACAATGAAGCCAAGTTAGAGGTGGAGAGGTGCAGTTTATAGAGAAGGAACTAAAAATAGTCTATAAATTGCCACTTTACTCAATATGTATAAACACAGCCTACGCAGGTCATTAGTTCAAAGTCAGGTCATGATAAAGCTGGTAATGGACTCTAGATTTGTTTGCCTCCCAGGGCAATTTACTGTGTTCCCAACTTTGCTGTATATACATTCTTCAGCTGGCACAGATAAGGTTTATAAAATGTTCACCACTTTACAGTGAGAGGAACTGTCAGCTCCATCAGCAAAATGGATGATAGTACTGACTGTCCAACAAAAATAATCACTTATTTCAAACCTCACAAGGAAGTGATATTCATAAATTGACATTAGAGTCATATGGTAAACTATGACTGAGTCACAAAATTACTAGTATGATATGAGTATAATATGATATTTATAGTATAATGGGATATTCCCCTACAGAAATGAGGGCAGGTAGGTGATGTAGTGGATAGAGTGCTGGCTCTGGAGTCAGCAGGCCCTGAGTTCAAATCCCCCCTCAGATACTTACTAGCTGTGCGACCCTGGGCAAATCATTTAACCCTGTTTGCCTCAATGGCTCATCTGTCAAATGAGCTGGAGAAGGAAGTAGCAAACCATTCCAGTATCTTCGCTAAGAAAACCCCAAATGGGGTCACAGAGAGTCAGACATAACTGAAATGTCTCAACAACAACAACAGACAGAAATGAAAGGCTTAAAAAGTTGGTGCTTACCTAGCGATGCAGTTTGAAAGCTGTGATGAGATTATCATTTTCCCAAGGAATTTTTATAAAGGAATAATGAGGATTATGGAGCAAAATGGCAGAAGCTGTTTTCCACATGCTTTTCCAACCTAAAAATTTCCCCAAAAAGGACACAAAAAGTATAGGGCAAATATAGGTGAATCTACAAGATAAAAAGAAATAATATACAAGGTACAGGCATCACAAAATGACATCAGAGATCTTAAATATTTAAAACACTACCCCTATGCAGGTATAGCCAGTTATAAATGACCTCTGTACCTTGTGTTTCAGGGTCCAGCTGTGGGGCCCCTAACCTGGTGTCTCTACAGAAGTAGTTAAGTCTGAATTCATATCACTTCATAAGAGTAGACAACTGTGATTCTGGCTAACCATCTAAAGGAAACAGTGTGATTGGGTTGGTGGAGGGAGGGCAGAAGAAGACAGCAGTGAGGAATTAGAGAAGGGGGAAGGGGCTTTTGTATCTCAGAGAGAGGAGAATAGAAATCTAGATGAGTCATAATTCTCCCCATGGAGTTTTCTCTGGACAGAAAATCAGCCAATCCCCCTGAAGGGCTAAAGCCATCAGGCCCAAGGGGTCAATGTGGAAGAAAGGATACTATAGCAATAGAAGGTAAAAGGATGAAGGGTGAGGAAGACTAAGCAATGACATAAATCCTCTCACATTTCTACTGTTATTTTTAAAAGAAATTTGTGGTAAAAAAAGAAAGAACAATAAGGAAACGTCTATAGACAGAATGATCAAAGGGTTAAAGATTTAATGGGATCTTAAAAAGTCAAGAAAAAGGAAGGCAATAGAGTTGAATTAACATTTTGTGGATTAAATTCCATGCTCCACTGTAAGCAATTCAATATCTTTTTTAAAATTTTAATTACATTTTTTTCAATTAGCAAAAATCAGTTTTATCTCTCTCTTACTTCCTCCCCATTGGGGGAAAAATTCTCTTGTAGCAAATGTGAATAGTCAAAACAAATTCCCGTATCAGCCATGTCCAAAAAGTCCATGTCTCATTCTATATCCAAGCCCGTCATCTCTCAGTCAATAAGTAGGTAGAGTGCTCTATCATTGGTTCTTTGGAATCTTGGCAATCAACATCTTTTGTGGTGGGAATAACACAGTGGGAATCATTTAAGCAGGGAAAGGGGGGACAAGAGACAGAAGGGCAACTGAAAATGTACCCTCACTCAGCCTGGATATGTGGTAAAATTATACACATACACATATACAAATACTATATACATATACACACATATATATATATACATATTTATATATATATACATATACCAATAATTCTCAAAAAATGAATTATATGAAAGATTGTTCCAATTTATTAGTAATAAGAGAAATTTGTGTTTAAAACATTCTGGTTTCATCTCATATTCTGCAAATTAGGAAAGATGACAAAAGATGGAAATTATCAATGATACGGGAGCTGTGGGAAGACAGAAATACAATTTTATTGTTGAAGGAGCTTTGAATTGACCAAAGCATTCTGGAAAATAATTTGGAATAATGTAAAAAAAATTTTTTTTGACTAAAATATCTACACTTCTTGATCCAAAAGTTCTACTGCTAGCTATATACTCCTACAAGGTCACAGACAAAAGGAAAGATCTCATATATGCCACAAGATTAATCAAGTTATCTTTTTGTAGCAGCAAAGAACTGGAAGAAAAGTCGACACCCATCAACTGGGGAATTGCTAAACAGATTGTGGTCCAGTAATATGACAGGATGCTATTGTTCCATAAAAAACCCCAAAAAGTATGAGGAATGAAGGAAAATGGGAAGACATTAACTGACGCAGAGTGAAGTAAGCAGAACCAGGAAAACAACATGTACAAGGACTTCAACAATTTAAACTAAAAGAAAGTTGAAATAAAGCCAAATCATTTGTAATTATAGTTGCCCTAGTTTGGTTCCATAAAAGAGATGAGAAAATGTACCTCCTGCCTTTTCCTGGAGAAATCAGGGATCATGGGTTCAGAATGTTGCATAAGCTAGCAGAGTCAGTGTATTGACGACTTTTGCTGAGCTTTTATAAAAGAAGCCTCAGTGAATCTGGAGGGGGTATACTTAAAAATTAATACAATCTAAAAACAAAAGTCATCAATCATTTTTAAAAGCAGAAGTTATGAAACTTGTATTTTCCTAGCCTGCCTTTGGACTAAGAAAAAATAGGAAGGGAAACTCCATTCTTGGCAGCCCCTAGACATCCGTCACCTTTTCTTCCAGCTCCTTATCAAGACAGCTAATCCGCCTGTTTGGAAAGACTAGGATAAACCAGCTCATGCTGTGCTATAAATTCTTCATTATGGCTCAATGCGTTGCATCTACTAGGAATATTTATTTCCCAATATGTGCTTAAATCTTAATCCAGAAGAATGAAGGTCTAATAACAAAAATTTTGGAGGAGGAGGAAAAATCAAAGAATCTGAGTGTCAGGGAGAAGAGCTGGATCCTGTGCCTCCCAAATCAAACTGCCCGCAGACACTTAAGAATAAGGCCAACCTTGCTTTGGCCCCTATTAAGCTGTTATTTTCCCCCAAAGTAGGTTATGAATTTTCTCATTAATTCATCCTTCTGTGATCATCCAATCACCATTTTCTTGGGAACATAGGAATGAATAATGGATGACAAGAATGAAAGGATGGAACAACTTCAAATAAAATGACCTGGCAATTATAAAACAGATGATGCCACAAATGGCTGAAAGAGAAATTAAGACTTGGCAAAGCACTCAGACAATGGTAAACTCATTGGGAAAGAACTCTACACATGCACAGTACCTAAAATATTGAGGCTAGTTGTGAATAGTGTATAGCAATATTAATCACTTTATTTGGGATATTTAATACAGTCTCAGCCTTCTCTTTTGAAGCAACGCCAAATTCTGTTTTTCTGAAACCATAGTGACCTCCAGTGGCTGACATGAGTAATGCTATTTGTATTTCTTTAAGATATCCTGAAACATTCCTGATGGAATGATATATTCCTTTCACAGAATCACAGTCTCTCAGGGTTGAACAGGACCTAAGAGATTGATTCCCTAATAGGAATCTCTTCTTCAACATCCCTGACAAGTCATTACCCAGCCTACACGGGAAGTCCTCTAGTGACTATCTCCAACGGTAACCTATTACATTTTTTGGCACTGGCTCAGTTCTCATCATCCCTTGCCTGAACTGTTGTAAGAGCTTCCACATTAGTTCCTCTGACCACATGACATCCCTGCTCAAAAATTATCAATGACTGTGAACTCCCTGATGGAGTTATGGAACCTTTTCCTAAAAGGAAAAGACCAAGTCTCTGAAAGCAAGCCAGCCCCTGAATTTTTCCACACTGGAATTTTGCCTGAAGCATCTGGCCCGGACCAACCAATCTAGATACTTAAATAATCCTTTTAACTGCCATTTCACTGTGGCTGTCAGACCACTTAATTCATTTCATTGTCTGCACCTGGCTCACCCCAGGCTATTTACCACTCCTTATATAAGTACCAATCTTACCACCATTAAATTGTGCAGATTCCCTAAGAATCTCACCCATTCCTATTGGCATCACAATAGCAGATTTACTAGGAATCTGCTGGCATTACAATAAATTCACTACTCTGACTGAAAGTAGGTTTGAGTGGTTGAATTCTTTCGAGGCAGACTCCCTGTACCCTTGAATTTTGGGGTTCCCAGTACCCCAAACCACAACATCCCCAGTCTGATATTTAAAGCCCTCCAAAGTCTGTCTCTAGCCTCCCTAACCTTATTTAACATTATTCCTTTTCAAGCATTCCATCTTCCAGCGTAACTTGATTACAAGCCCTTCTGTGAACTTGCCTGATCTCCACGTATTTGTATAAGCCATCCTTTCTTCCTAGTATGACCTTCCTCCACATCTTGATCTCATATTCTTTACCTTTCTTAATACCTCTAGTGATATCTCGATACCTCTTGATACCTTGACGCTGCTAGTGCCTCTAGTGCGGTATAGGGGGAAAGAATAATGGCTCTGGAGGCATGCTAATGATTCGAATCCTAACTCAGCTAGTTCATTAGTTGTGTGATCTTAAGCAAGGCACGTAAAATCTCTAGGCCAGTTCTCTTTTCTGTAAAACAAAGGGATTAGACTGGATTCCTTACAGATCTAAACCTAGAATCTTCTGGGAAGCCTCTTCCTTGGTTCCTGGTTGTTAATGTTCTTTCCCTCCTCAAAATGCCTTGTATTCACTTCTTTACAAGTAATCCTCTAATGGAATGTAAGCTCCTTGAGGGCAGGTACCTTTTTTTTTTTTTGCTCTCATCTTTATATCTCCAGAATTTAGCCCTGAGCTTGGCAATTAAGAGATACTTAATGAATGTTTGTGGAATTGAATTGTTGGACAGTGCTGTGTTAAAGAGTTTTTCTTTATATTAATCCAAAATATGAACTGTGCAACTTCTGCTTACAGATCTTTCCAGATATAATCTGGTGCTTACTGGATCTCTTATTCAATAAATATTTATTGAATGTATGTACACATTCAATATATGTATATGTATATGTATATATATATGTGTATTGTGCACATATATACGCATACATACATATAAATACATATATACACATATATACATATATATATACATATATACTTATATGTATATATATATTTACATTATATATATACTTATATGTATATATATATTTACATATATTCTTACCAGTGTCCTCATCACTCTAATAGTGGTATGATTTAGCTTCTGCTCTCAAAAAGTTTGTAGTCCTAGAGCAGAGATGAGCTGGAAACAAATAATTACAATATTATAATAGGTGTCATATGAATCATATAATCAAAGCATTCTAGGAGATTTATAGAGAGTGATATAGGAAGGCTTCAGGGCAGAAACAGAGATTCTTTCATGAAGGAAGTGATTTTCCTAAGAGGTGATCAAGGTTACCAAAGGTTGGTGTCATGCAGTGTTTATGTTACCTCTGACATTACACAATTTCCAACAGTTATCTTTCACATAAGGGACACTTGATAAATCAATAGATTAATATAGTAAAACCCAGGGATCCCCCAGGAATCCCACTTTGACAACTGCTACT